CCCCAAAACCCCAAAACCCCAAAACCCCAAAACCCCTGCTAATTTATGTATATTGGAGTTATAAAGATGTGAACTTGTTAATGTACTTGTGGTTGTTGACCCAGAAGTACTTTGTGTAGTCGATTGGGGTGTGACCTTTGGACTTTTGGGTGAGGAAGTAGTGGAGAGCTTTCCGGACGGGGGAAGTGGGAGCTTGGAGGGGGTAGGAGGTGGAGGAGGAGGGGATTTCGGAGGATTTGTTCCGGGCGTGAGGGAGGTGGGAGGGATTGGAGTGGATGGAGAAATCGTAGCTCTGGGTGATGTTTTCGCTGTAGTCTTTGAAATGGTAAGATTCGCCGTGTTTCTGCTTTGATCTCATGACTTGTTTGATGATAGAGACGTTGTCTTTGCGATTGGTATATTTTGAAGCGGTGTGGGAGTTTTTCATCTTGATTAAGCTGTAAGAAAGTTTTGAGATCATATCTTTCATTTCTGAGTCGTTGTTGATCTTCTTTAATAAGGGAAGATTAGCTCTTTCAGAATTTTTCTTTCTTCCTACATCCATATCAACAATATTGCTGACACTTCTGTTGCTAATATGAGGCTGAACATAATTTTCTTTCTTTTTAACCATTTTTATTTGATCTGAGCATTTATTTCTCTAGAATTCTCCTTGTACGCTCTTCTTTGATTCTTCTCTCATCGATACCATTGGTTCTGTTTATAGAAGTTTCAAACATTTGGCTCCCAGAAAGTGAGTGTAAATTTGAATTTAACTGAACTTCACTCTGTAAAGTCCTTAATGATTCAATGTTGCTTTTAATGAAATCAGGCCTGACAGAGTTAGCCTTCTTCATTCAATCTATCTTATTTTTCCTTGGTGAGGATTGCATCATATTTTTGATTCCATATCTTAAATTATTCTTGCTCTATTAAAAAATTATTTTTCTTAGAAATAACTTAGAAAACTTCGAATCATATCGAAATTTATTTTAAATGTAAGTCTTACCTTCACTTTGGAGCTGAGCCCGAAATCGCACTGATTCTTGCCAAGATGGATCTTCTTCTGACTCTTGTACTTGGTCTCAGACCCAGTTGGTTTTATCTCATGCTGGATATCCTGGCCTTCAAGGAAGCTCTTGTGCATTTTATTATTTTTCCTGGTAATAAATTCATTTGGCTCATACTGACTGCTTGCAGCTTTAGATTTTACAGTTTCATTGGATTTAGTGTTCTTGATTAGAAATTCATTGCTGTATCGTTCTCTGGGGTATGAAGCCTCTCCTTGAATTGTTTCTGTGTAGTATCTAGCAAAAGAATAGTTCCTTTTAAAGTTCTTTTTCACTTCAGAAATAGTGCCTAGTTTATTATTTATCCTCAGAAGTCCCAAAATAGTCGTTATCTAGGTCATCCCTTTCTAAGTCCTCATTATAAGAGGGTTTTGGAGGAACTTTGCTATTTTTAGCTCGATCTAGAAGGAGCTTTACCATTGGTTTGCTTGGGGAGTCATCCATATTTTCATGGCTCTCGACACTCTCCATTGAAGTTTGTATAGTATCGTTATAGTTATCTCTTAAATTTTCATAGTTTACACTAGTTCTTGTCTTGACATACTGATTTGACTTCTTTTGGATAGAATTTGGAAAATCGAGATTTCTTACCTTTCCAATAAGAATAAAGTCATTGACCTTATTTTCCAGAGTTTGCAGTGCTGAATACATTAACTCCAGATTTTCTTTGTGAACTAAATTTTTCTCTTATTTCAGGCTTTTTCGATATGAGTCCTCGGTAACGTTTGTCTGTAAATTTACTGTCAAGCCATCCAATGCTCTCACTATAATTAGAGTCCATTGCTTTATTAATAGTATTTCCTGTTTCATTCATTCTCTCTTTTATTTTCAAATTCGGATTAATCTGGAACTTCAAACTCTTGTCATACTCTTTATCAACTTCCCTCTCAACCTGAGGTAAAATATGCTTCGAAAGGATGACATTTTTAGGTGTTGGGGAAGTTTCTGTCATTCTTTCAATCTCCTGATCCTCTCTTCCTTCTCCATCTCGTCCAACTTCCTTCTGTATCGTCTCTGTTTCCTTCCCGTCCCCAGTATCTTGTACACTCTGATCCTTAAACTTTCTCTCTTCTGTACTTTCCTCTTGTCCATCCTCTAGCTCACTTCTTGAACTCCTCTCCTCTTGAGATTCTTCATGTCTGCATTCTTCACGTACAGATAGTCTCTTAGGACTTTTGGAGGAAGATTTTAGTTTATTTACCGGATTTGAATTCTTGGTAGTTGGTTTTGAGGGGGTTTTGGGGGTAGTTTTTGAGGCCGAGATAGGGGGACTTGGAAGCGAGGTTTGAGAGGGCTTTGGTGTTTTCCATTGTTAAATTTATTTCATATTTCTATTTCTTAGGATTGATATGGGGTTTTGGGGTTTTGGGGTTTTGGGGTTTTGGGG